ACATAAAAAAAAGAAAAAGCAGATAGTCGGAAGAGGAGGAGGAGGAGAGAAGAAGAAGAAGAAGAGAAGAAGAAGAAGAAGAAGAAGAAGATGAGAGGGGGACGAGGGACGGGCGACTCCACGACGCTGGTGACGGGCGACGGGCGACTCCATGACGCTGGCGACGGGCGACGGGCGACTCCATGACGCTAAATACACGTCTTCTCCTCCATAGCCATGAAGCTTTGCTCCATCACATCCTCGACGACTCCGTTGCGCACCCGGGATCTCTGTCTCTTCACCCTCTTGGTGGATCAGCAGCATGGCTGCCAGGTGAATGACCCAGACTGCGTATGACACTGTTGCAGACTGTAAGCCTACCTACGGACCCTGAATGTAGACCTAACCACGGTTGGATACGGTCGTGGTTCTACCATTACCTACAGCTGCCCTACCAGACGTCAGGGTGTCTCGAAGTTGCAGCAAAATCCTACGAGGTCCCTGGGAAATTCTGTGTCTACTCCTGGCCTGGCCTGCCTTTTGCTTTTTGACCCTTCGGTGCCATTGGGAAGCAGATTTCACGACTGTTGAATTGTTCATCCACCAACACAGAATGGGAAGCCAGTTTAGACCGCAGTGAGTGTGGGTGGACTTAACAAAAAAAAAAGGCTCGTGTTAGTCCTTCCGTAGCCGAATTTCAGGTCTGTCCCTCGGTCTGCGCCTATATGGCCACCTACAATTGTCTAAGGCACAGGAATACAGCATGGAAAACAGATTTACCTTGGGTGCACAGACTTAAAGACTTTGGAAAACACAAAACGCATACACATATCATCAGCTGGTGGCATGGACTCAGAAGTACGCAACAAAACAACCTCGGAGGCAGAAATCAAAGCAAAACAGACCGAAAACAGCATTTTTCTTCAGAAATATGCAGAATTATCAGTCACAAAACTGTTCGGTCATAGCACTTTCCCTTTTCCCTGTTTTCCTTCGGTTTCCCTGTTTTCCTTCGGTTTTCAGAAACTTTGCTCTGTTCTGAGACTGCAGCTCATGAGTTTCGTCAGGATGAACTCCGATGAAGTGGTTAACATTTTGTTGTTGATCGGGGGGTTGGTGGTGGGTGCAGACCTTTACAAATAATATGCTCCATTCGTCCCAGGGGCTATTGATGGAGGACTACTTAGATTCGAAGGAGCTTCATCATTGGCTATCTGACTATTCGTCAGATATTCAGCGTATGTTTCTGGCATCCCTGTGCCTTTCTTTTTAAAAAAAATTCAGTTTGCAGGGGCCGTGGTAATCTTCTCTGTATCATTCCAATTTGTCTTGTTTTCAATCTTCTTTTTCCTCCTCTATTGTGCTTCATTAGCTGTTACTTTGCGCGCCACAACTTTTGGTGACATGGCCTGCTGTTGACGTCTTCGTTGAGTTCACTCAAATGCTTCCTAAGTTGTACTTCGATTTTTCTCTTCTATGTTTGGTCCTTGCATATGAGCTTTTGTTAAATTTTTCTTGCTCGTCTGTGCGAAACCAGACAAAATTCCGCTTGGAATCACTGACCAAACTGTAGAAGATTGGGAAAAATCAGTGAGTGGAAAAGGCACTTCCAGGCAACCGTCAGGTTGGAATTCTATATAGTACCCCCAAAGACTTGCCTAGAAGAATTTGAAGCACTTACTCGAGGAAAAGGTAGAAACATCAGAAATTCTCTTCTGTTTCAATCGGAGAACTTACGAATGAAATGCGTGGCTTGAAATTTCCAAACACAACACGATTATAGAGCCAAATGGAATAAGCTGCTCCTAAAATCATTCCGATGGCTGCTAATGTTGCCACGTTGCGCGCAGCTTGAAAAGCAGAACGTACAATAGAAAATGAAAAACGAATGGTTATTTCAGATTGCTTGTAATTAGTAATCTTTGGATTACCTTTTCTGAATTGAACAAAGTTTGGTTTTGTTTTTGTTTAGGTAGCTCAGTTGTTTAGAGTGTCGAATAATACTGTAGACTTCAGTCACTCGATAATATGTTGTCCTGTTCTTCCCTCTTTTTTCTCCTTCTTTTCCCTTTCAAAAAATATAATAAAATTGGAGGACCATTTCTGCCCAAGCGGGCTAGTTCAGGTGGTGACGCACATAAGTGGCACTCAGGAGGTCGCGGGTTCGGTACCTAATGTCGTCCTTTCGATTCCCGCGGCCTCCTGGGGTATGCTTGGGGTTCACCAGCGGAGATGATTGGCTTGGTCCTCCTGGCTGGTTGTGGAAGCTATGGTGGCTCTCTTTCCAGCCTATGCCAGGTGTTGGGAGCTTGGGTGCTGCTCCCCTCTCAGAGCAGAATGAGCCCGGTATATCATCGCTACATTATAACAATGGCTATTTGGTGGCCTGTGACCAGCAGCCAATCTGGGCTTTCCGTTTCGTTGGTGCACGACGGTCCATATTGGCTGCTGATCGTTTTCAATTTCATTAACTCCCAAGCTGGACCATCTTCAGTGTGGAACTGTGCGGTCCAGATTGCGTGTTGATCGTTTTGGAGACGATCGGTGGGCCGTTACTGCTGGGCCGGTTGGCCCTGGCCCGGTAGTGCCACACGCGGCACTCCCCAGGCCAAATTTTGGCACGGTAGTATTGCGTGCTGTCATCAACTCGCAATCTGGACCATCTTCGGCGTTGAACCGTGGGGTCCAGATTGCATGTTGATCATTTTGGAGACGATCGGTGGGCCAGTACCGCTGGGCCGGTATGTGACGAACCACTTCCCGAACCCGTGCCATCTTTCGTACCCTTTTTGCTTGTATCATACCAACCCCATAAAAAAAAAAACTGTTTCGTTTTCTTGATTTCGGGTGCCGCGTTTTGGGCCCCCATCTTTCGGAAGCTTTTACGATTCCCGGGTTCAGCTTTTTCTTTTTGCAATTCGAGAAATACATAGGAATTTACGTGCGCCTTAGCGAGCGCACTGGGAATTGGGTCCGGCAGTTGGGAATTCCGGGATAAGTGGAACTTCGATGTGTCATTTTTGTGTGTGAATGTTCTTTGGTCGCGTCGGGGAAAACTCTCGGAATTTTGCAGGGATACGAATAGGCGTAGGACTTTCTTTTTCCGCGTTGCTCTTTCGTGCGCGGATATGGTGATTTCAATTTTGAATTGGCTTAGGACGTAGGCAAGCTGTAACTGTTTTGGTGCCTTTTCTCTTTTTTTGTTGACGGCGCCGCGCCCACAAAGCTTTCTCCTCCTTGTCCCCCGCATTGCTCTCTCCCGCACTCCTTTCCCCTCCCCTTCCTCCTCTTCCTCTCTCCTCGTAACTGTTTTTCTCCCTCTCGCTCTCTCCCGCTCTGCTCTTTGCGGGCCCATTTCCCTTTCTTGATCACCTGAATCTTGGACCCGTCTTGCGCTACTTCTCGCGCCTTTTCTCTTTTCGCCCTTCGAAGCAAAGCTTGCGAAGTCCGGTCGATCCTTCGATAAC